AAATTAAGCAGGCAGTGGTCAAAAGAAAAGATATTACAGGATAGTGCATAGTTTAAAACAGGATGAGGTGTTAAGCGAAGGAACACTAAGAATTAGATCCAGATAACTATTCAATCCTTGATTGCATTGTTAGTCAATGTATATTTATGCTATTAACAGGTCATATTTGCTAGAGCTTGATGTTTAAACAAATCTACGTCGCTGAAGCAGGTAAATGCTATTAAAGCTTGTTAACGAACCATCAAAGCTAATTAGTTGATATAGATGATCAACTCTTATTATCGATTGAGCTAGTGAGTTATGTAAACTAATAGATATAACATTACGATAATATATGTGACCATTAATCAAAGGACTATACGAATACTATGTTTACAAAAATAAAAACCGTTTGGGAAGGTTAATGTGGAAATAAGGATTAACAATAATAGGTTGCGTTTCTTTAGTCGGGCTTACCAATGTAGAACTATGGTCTACTATGATATTAGTACTGCTCTAATAATAAACCTAATCCTAAACTTGTCGATTTGTCATGATATAACTGCCTAATCTATAAGATCTTACGTGGAAGTCACACCATCGACTACACCAACTCACTGTATCGTATCAATTACCAATACATGATGAGGAACAAGGTTAGGCAAGAGAAAGAACAATATATTTAATATGAATAGAAGATATGAAGTAACACTAAGATGGACCACGTCTGCATGGACGAGCCATGCCACTCGATCAACTCCAGTCCATTCAATTCATTGTTCGCGCCTTCTCCATTCTTAGGTATTTATCCGCGTTAAATATTGAATATCTATTTTCTGAGTAGTCTCGTGTTCAGCTTTGTGGATTGTGTGGCTATTGTCCAATGCCACTACAATTCCACTTTCTGAATCAAATCAAGTTTCATTTATTGAATTCGTCAAAGAATCCGAAGTCATAGTGGAATTAAATACCTTGGTTTGTGTAGATAGTCACATATTCTTGACCAGAAACTTTACGGGAGCATTTTTCTGTTGCAATAAAGACTTCATATTATCCATTTTATCGTCTCAAAATCCACTTTAACTTAATATATATTCGTAGATCCGCTTTAACCACCGCCGCCATTGTTATAACGCTCAGTGTTTCCCGTCTACACTAATGGAAGGCTAATTTGTTTTGGACGAATATCTACACGAGATACCTCCAGAGAGTGTATTCTACAGGAATTCAACACAACTCAGATTATGGACACGTGACTAGCCCTATTGGAACGTAAGTATATTTCCACATCAAAAACTGACAACAATCACGGTAATGATGAGGGTGGGAAAATATATAACTCATCCAATATCTGTCAGATTATCTACTAGTCTGACTATGCAAACAAACAATTTTTTGTTCACACACTCTTGAGTTTCCAAAATACAACTTCCTTATTATTTAGTTTTTTACGTTTTATACTGGCTCCAGGATATGCCACACTTTTAATAGTCATTCGGATAGCAGTAATTAGAACCGCACGGTAATTTTTCCCGGTTGTTGCTTATAATCACCGGCCATGTGTAAGTAAAATAATTTTTATCGATATGTTTCACCGTTGGTAATAAATCTCCCTTTAGTTGACTTAATGAATTCGACTGTCCGTATGACGAAAATTTTTTAGTGTGTTCCACTACAATTAACAGCAGCCTGCTTATGTTGTAACTGGTAAGTATTATCAGCCACAACGGAAACCAAGTGAAGTTTCCCGGCTTTTACGGTGCTTAATAAACACAAATGTTCATTCAGAGTTTTGGCTTGCAGTGTGGCGTCGAATCGCGGTTGACTATGATCACTACTACAAAAAGACTACGTTCAAGTTAACCGATAATATCCCCCGTAAGCCAAATATCAGAAGGCAGTTGGTGGCTGTGGTCGAAATGTATTTGTTGGTGATCTTGTGGTATCGAAAGAAAACTGAGATCGTGCAAGGTTACAGGTGTGGTTACTGAGTGTAACCGAATTCGTGCAAAGTCACAATCAACGGAAGAATGTATGTGTTTTGGTACGGTTAAACAAACAAGTACGGTAAAAAAATCCCTGGTACAGCTGATTTTAATAATAGTTGTTTCCATCACACCAATCGCGTTCTCTTGATAAAAGTAGGTCACTACAAGTTCACGTTTACTACTGAAATAGCGACTACCTAACACAAAGCCGATAAAAATCAACCCAACAATGCACACAATAGCACATTATGCCTGCTCAAAAACGTCTGTAATAATTTTCTTCAGAACCGTAGCCATGCTGGAGACCTCTGTTATATTTTTAGGGACCTTTTTGAAAGAAACGAGTTTGACAAGGTAGTCTAATGGTGTTATTATGACACTGATTTTCAAGACATCATTTGTGATTTTTGTTCTTGGACAAACAGCGCTAATGTTGGTTTTTTATTATGTACTCCACTTCATTTCTCGAATGGATTTTTCATCTTCAGGCTACTTTTATTTTATCTTTGACGTTTTTAGATTAGTTCTATAGGAAGACTGATGAGATTGCTCACCATGTCTTTAAGGGTTTGTATCTTAGGTGCTACACGGTGTCTTTAACGTGTCTTCATCCCGAATTGATCCATAGAAGAAATGTTTATTTATATGGATTATCAAAGGTTGTCGGACTAAGTGTAAGTTGGTAGATACCCCTTCCTTTGAGTTGAAATTGAAGATTTGAGACTAGTTTCTTTTTCAAGACAAGAGGCAATAGTGTTCAATAAAGTGCTGTGAAGAGATTTCGTTCATGTTCTTACCGTTTGAAACGATTTGACCCTATTGTAACAAACATGCCTTGTACAATAACTTGTGGCAAAATTACTTTTGTTTATGAGATGATACTGTCGGAATATAGCTAGCCACCGCAAAGCTGGTATTGTAAGTATGTGATTTACTCACTTATAAGAATTTATAAAATAAAAGAATCACCTAAATAACTCAAAATTTACAATCTTTTCTCATAAAAATGAATACGTCACTATCTAGAGTCGCGTAGTTATCGTACCCATCCGTATTATTATCATTATTATTTACAAATATCTTGTGGGTACATAAGTGTTGTGAAGAAACCATTTCGGGTTTCTTCAAAAAATGCAATAATACACAAGTTTCAATAGTGTTAGTATTATATTTGTCATGTGTTAGAAAGGGAATTATAATAAATTAGGTTCAGTATAAATGAGAAGAATACTGAATTGAGTTTAAAGAAGGAAAGGGAGAAAATAAGGGAACAGAAATAAAGGAGACGTGAAATATGCAAATAGTTTAATGAGCGTGTTTATGAACACAGAACAAGAATAAACGACTATGTATGTATCGTCAAATTAGTAACAAAATTAAAATAGAAAATAATTAAGAAAAATAGCCTATTATTGCAGCAAGATATGAAGCTAGAATAAATGTTTGTGCTGTCATAGTTTAGAGTGATGCTATAAAAGTCTTAATTAAGTGAAAAGGATAACGAAATATCATTATTTATGAGTCATATATGCATAGTGAAGATAAAACGAGTCTGGGAAGATAATTTAAGTGTAATACAAATTATTCTCTTAATTACAAACTTCGTAATTTTAAGAAAAGTACTTATTTAGATGGAGAAAAGATAGAAAAGAAATGAACACCTGGTGAAAGGGTTAAACCGTAATAATAATAGTAGTTGTGTAATGAATATCAACCTCTGGAGTAAACCAACAATTTAAAAAATAAAAAATCCCTTAGTACACTCGGATAAATACTTGTGAAATTTTTCGGAACTTCACGTTACTTGTTGTCGGTATCTTTTATGTGTCTACTCAACAACCGTGTAACCCACGTCTGATTTCGTTCGTGAGTCTGTGCCACTTAAAGAGGGCAATGTTCACTTGCGACGATATTTCGAGCTTACTTCTAGCTAGTGGCGAACAGCATGTGGTTGAATATCGGTTATATTTTATCTGACCCAAGTTTACTATTCGTAAGTTGCCTAAAGATGTAACAAAATAATTACCTGAATACTTTTAGAGCAAAATGAGTGCTCATTGTGCACCACGAGAGGTTGTATGCTTTGTACTAACTGCGTGTTCAAGCGACTGGATGACGGCAAGCAGAAAATCTGATGAGCATCAGAGAATTACACGGTTGTTAGAGTTGCATTAATGACATTACCTCATTAGTTTCATTGGACATGCCATGACTGAAATATCTAGATCACTCACCCACACCAGTTCATGGTTGGACACACGGTTCTACTAATCCGTCTTAACAACCTATCGGCTCACACCACATAATTCTTGAAATATCGAACACACTTCATATGTACCGTCGAACTACTCCATTTTTAATTTCTGATTTGACTGGATCGGTATCTTTCGATTACTGAGGTGTTACGGACAAAAGCGTTGTCAAACCCTGGATATTCGTAACATATTTATTCAGTACAAGGCATAGTTCACCTGAAAAATAACAAAACCTAGTTTGTAATCCAGGGTACTAGGGTTCGCAACGCAAGTATATTTCTGGAAAACAAGAATTTCTAAACACATGCCCTGGCAGTCCATCATGAACCGCGAAACCACACGGACTTAGGAAAAGATATCACTACCGGTTTCCACATCAGTAAGAAAAAATAATGGGTCTCAATGAATACATTGAATATCGCGGACGGTCCGATGAGTTTGTGATTATTGTTCTAGTAATCAAGAGGTATCCATCAACGGAGAGTTTTATTTCAGCAGTTTTAATTCAATCATTTGAACCATTTATATAATTGTATTGTGATACTATGACGGACTGAAAGAAATTATAATGAATCGTTCAACATGAATGACAATCACAACAGTCATCCGCCTTAGGGACTAAATTAGCGACGAATTAATCATGAAAAGTTGGAAGATTAAACGTATCTGCAACCAGCTCAAACGTTTATAAAAATCAACTGCTGGGGATCCAAGCTGTAGTCGGGCGCGGATTTCAAATGACAACTGTTCGTAATATATTTTGCCTTGTAGCGTTTGCATGATGGTTCACACACGCGGTCATCGTACATTAAACTCTGTGAGTTGTTGTCTTATGTTCAAAAGTCCAATTTTTTAGCGTGTTTGTACTGTACATTAATATAAATAGGGAGGGTGTAACCACTTGTTTTTTAATTATTTATCGTTGGTTATGGTCAGTAATTTCTCTCAGCTCATACTTTATTGTATTAGTAGAAATCTACGAACACGGATAAAATACAACCAACTAGGAACAAGTACACACCTTTGAGTTATTGATGTCAGACTCATTCATGAATGAGTTGCTTCGTCTAGAACCGATCATTTGAGAGGACATTCGAAGAAAGTTCAAAAACCGAGATCAAACCGTTTACGTCTGGAGTTCCGTTTCTCGCACCGAGTAGTGAATTACTGGAATTCTCTACCGGAACACGTAATATCAACACTGTCTGTTAATATATTCAAAACGAGATTGGACCTCCACAGTATTACAAACTGCAAGGATTAATATAGGTCGACAGACCTCCTATCCTTATTACTGAAGACTGAGTTTCTGCTCAGAAACTACATAAGTAGTTCATGTCGTATTGTGTATATAACATATAGGTTCATATCTGTCACAAATTTCATGTTAGCCCATAAAGACATATATTCTACTGTGAAAATGTTCTGTCAGCATTTCTGTGCCTGAGTTACAGTAACCACGTTACTTGTTCAGTGGAATTGTCTTGTATCTCAATTTCTCTAGTCCCATCCTCGGCGTCAATCTTTTCTGATACCACTGATAGTCTTAATATCTTTGCTACTCCGGGACTTCCTTTAATGACTTCATTTCCGTGCTTATGAGGTATGGCAATTTGGACCGATGTACATGTATCAGGTCCTACCTTGCTGACATTTATCTCATGCTTTCCCACTTTTTAAGCCGTAAGGTATGCAGGCGCAAACAGATTAAGATGATGGCTGCTGATTCAGTGTTCAGTGTAGTAATGAACACGTTTAACTTAGCAATGATTACCCTAAAATTTTAATGTAAATATAGGGATTGTATTGTCCGTATCCCACTTAACAGAGTGCAACCAGTGTTTAGTTACCTCATCCTTGATGTAATTTGCACAACACAGTTATCTTGTCACGTTCAAATCTGTCTTCAAACCATTGCAAGTGCTCTTAACAAATTTTCAGAGAATTGTATTCCCATTTGTAACATGGTCTATGTCATAAGTCTCATGTGTAATGATTTTGTCGCTGTAGATCTGAAATATATTGTTTTGATACCGTATATAATGCATTTAATACCAGCAATTTACGTTGAACGTGTAATTCAAGTAGTGAAATAGAGGATTAATATTTCTTTCTAACAGTAGGAATTATTACAAGTAAAGTATGTTATGAACATTAACTTTTTTTCATGTTGGACAATGCATTATGGTAAAGCTGTTGCGTAATCGACCTAAAGGGTTGTGGTCTCAAGCTCGTTTGGCGGTAAGGTACATGGTTACGGTAGATTAGTTTTAACCCAATAGTGGGATTTGCCTAGTATCTTGGGAGCAGGCGATATCATTTGGTTCACTGTCTTCACGTATTTTCAAGTCGTCAGTATAAATTGGTGTTTTAAAGATAAATAAACCTCGGGAATTACTGACAGTAATTGCGACTAATATATGATTATGCATCAAATTATGGGGAGATTTCATCCAACATAGTAATTCATTGAGGGTTAACAGCCGTAACATTGACGTTTACTTGTGATAAGTTCATAATTACACCAACATGTGCGCTTTATACTATCCATTAGTTCTTGACGTCAGTATGCATGAACAAACAAGAAAAGCTACTTTGGTGTTAACCGAGTGACGGTGAGGTATGTCTGTATCAATAGAATCACCTTTGAACCCATTCATTTGTAGATGATTTTGATTCGGCATACAATACACGTTTCTTATCCACTTTCAGCTTGTTTACACTTGTTAACTTAATGCTGTTATAGTTATATAGTGCATAAGAAACATAACTGTCGTAACTCAAGTCTATTATATGTTCACTATGATTATGTTTCACAAATAACAAAGGTTGTGTACCGGTAGTTAATATCATTGTCCACTTCGCCGAGATTGTCAATAAACTACTCAGTATTTGAGTACAGGTTTGTATATTACGGTGCGAAACTCCTACGACCACTTGTGCCATTGGTGCTACTGATTCTACCGATTTTGATAATCTTATCTACCCGTGCTTAAACAATTTTGGAACTTGAACTCCTGCACATTAGTACCAGATCTATACTTTGCTCATAACTGACCGATTGACCTATATGAACCACACTTACGAGGTCTGTCAATGTTATTTGGCCACTCATACTTCAGTCAATAAAAGGCGTCTCAATTTATGAGTGATTGGATGAAGACCGTCTAGAGTACCAATGTAACATACATTATTAAGTTGTAAAAGGTCGACTATAATGAATGACTGAAGTGTCAAAAAATAAGCATTTTCAGTGGGTAATATACGAAGAATCTTGTATGGATTCTTGTATATGATATGTGCTGGCGATTACAGGAGCTCTGTCTGTACGTTTTAAATTAATATAAATCATCTTAATTCCAATCACATCTTTCCTTCACCACTTTATACCTAGATGTATTTACTTTTTCAATATTAGCCTTCATCCATTACCGTATGCCAAATTAGGCTTGAAAGAAATTTTTAAAAAATTGCCAATTTCACACAAGTTCGTGTTTGGAAAATTTCTAATTTGACAGGTTGCATCCAAAATCCTGGTTAGCGACAATGATGATCTGTTATCAACGACTTCGGATTATCGCGTTTCATCGAATCGTTCCCGAAAACCATTTACAAAGAAAGAAAGCCTTGCTATACTGAATTATATTCAAGATAATAACTTACTATCGTAAGTTTCCCTTATTTGAAAGTCATAATAGGCAGCAGTGAGTTCTGTAATCCTTGAAATGTTACTATTATTGAATTACTTAGTTCTCTTGATGTTAGATGTATCCCAAGTGAACACGGATATGATTCTCTCCTTAACCGTTTATTTGTGGATATTTATTTCGTAATCTAGTCGAGCTATGTCTACTTGAATACCTTTTTGCAAAACTAATATGATGCCAGGATATTTGACTGAAATGTTGCAAAACCAAAACACTTAATAGCAATACGATAGACTGTACAGTAATATTGGTACATACTATAGGATTCTGCGTAAAGATTATTTACGTTTAGATTACCATGACCGACCGTTGTTGCAACCTTGACGTGGTGGTCGGGTTTGCCTATCGTGATGGAGCAACCGAGCTATACTGGCTGGAACAACCGTTCCTCAAGGTCCTACCATGTCAGACAGGTCGGTTGAAGAGCGGTAAGACTAAAAGCAACAAACCCAAGGTCCGAAGGCGAAGTCGTACTGCTGACTGTACAGAGGTGTGACGGCATTAAGGTGTTTCCTTCAGACAACCAGCATGACAGCGATGCTGCCTTCCCACAAAGAGGGTGGGGTTAGAAAAGGTCGACCCTAAAAATGCACACCTCGCCTTATCCCACGGATATCCGTCTCCGGCGGTAAGGCCCTTTGAAGAACGGAGCTAACACGTCAAAAACCTTCCACGAAAAGGCCGTGCGCGACCGACCTCAAGCAGTTGTCCCTTGGGCACTGCGGCTACGCTCCCAGGTCACTAAGACCACCTCTAATCCAATTTCCTTTTCAAGTACCTCCAGAACAACCCTTCCACGGTGTGGGCAATCGGGAAGTGATAACCGTCCTCATACCTCTAACAGTACTCAAGACCATTGTATTCATAATCAACCTCCGTCTTCACTTCCTATTATTCCTCCTACATCGACTTTCACCTCTAAACTTCCTTTTTCGGCTTCCCCCTCAAGTGTCACCATAGCCAACGATTCTAGTGCTCAAAACACTGTCCCAGGTCTACTGAAACCTCGCTCCAAACTACACATTGGAGCCTTCAACGTACGCACCGTATGTCAAATCGGTCAACAGGCTTCCTTGGCTAGAACCCTAGAATCTCGTACCATTGATGTATGCTGTGTCTCCGAAACACGCATACAGGATCCCAGTGTGCTCGTTCACTTGACCTCACCTCGGCAAAACGGAGAGCCAACGAGATACACCCTCCGTGTATCTGGTGACGCGATGGCCAGCCCTCGTGGACTGGCAGGAGTAGGGATAGCACTAAGCATGAGGGCGGAACAAGCACTGTTAGAGTGGATCCCCGTTAACAGTCGTTTATGTGCTGTTGGGCTAAAAGGCTCCGTAAGAACTTGGAAGGATAGGGACACACGTCGTTAAACCAAACAGAAAGGCATTTAGGTGGGTATTTTAGTATTCCGGCACAGCGAACAGATAATGGTGATCGTCTGCTGCAACTGTGCTCAGACAATCATTTATTTTTAGCAAACACAAATTTTAAGCATAAGGAGAGACATCGTCTAACATGGTGACCCCGTACACCAAACCAACGATGGACTCAAATAGACCATATTGCCATCAGTCATCGTTAGAGAGGGTCTGTAGAAGATTGTCGCTCATTCTGGAGTACCTGCTTGGACTCCGACCATGCCCTAATACGGGCACGCATCTGCTTGGGCCTCACTGGACGCAAAAAAGCCACAGTAAAAAGACCCATTAGATCTGAATCGAGTAGCGAGAAAACCAAAAGTAGGTTCCAGGAACAACTGAGGTCACAATTAGGTAGTTCTGAAAACGAGGTTGGCCTAGATGTTGCTTGGAAAGCTATACCAACAGTTGTGGAAACAGCAGTGACATCTATCAGTGATTTCAACCACAGGGTTACAAAGAACCAATGGATTTCCTCTAGGTCTATTGCACTGATGGATTCTCGTAAACTCATCCCATCAGGCTCTGAACACGATGAAGAGTGACAACAAATCAGATCTAGGTTAAGCAAAAGTCTAAGGAACGACCGTGAGCAGTGGTGGGCAACGAAAGCAAAAGAGATGGAAAAGGCAGCGGATATAGGGACACACAAGACAGCTCTACAGACTAATAAAAGAAACTGGAATTAATAAGTCAAGTGTAAGTCAGACTATTTCGGAAAAGGACGACACCCTCATCTGCTCCCAGTCTAGACGCTTAAAACGATGGGCGGAACATTTCAGAGAACAGTTCAGCTGCCCGAACACTGATTACAGCGACGTGCAATGCTAGCCGGTGTTCGGGATGGTTGGAAGAAAGTTAGGGGCAGCCAAACCAAAACGTGGCATCAGTGCTTGAAGTCACTAACTTGTAATCTGAGCCATGTTGGTAGATGCAGACTACTTGGTTGGTGTCCGCGTGACTATCGTAACCAATGGTTGGAGACTCTTGGTGTCATGGTTCAGAATTGATGACAGTGACGTAGGTGTATATACTCTGTCTTTCCTTAAACTAAGAGATTAAAATCGCTTCATATCTTTCTTTCTACGAACTAATTCTTTCTTCCTGTACTATATCCTTATTGCAATCTGTCTTTTACATATTACCACTTCTGAATTGACTACTTGTATGAATCCGGTGTCCATCTTGTTGTGTTTATGAGGTATGGCAACTTGGACCGATGCATATATGTGCCTGGTCCTACGTCGTAGCTGACTGACTGACAAACACCTGACCATCAAGACTGATGAGATCTCCAAGATAAGTAAAGTAGTCTGTATGTTTAACTGCTTCACTCCCTACCACTAATTCAGGCGTTGATACTGGCCAAACCTGAAGTGAAATCGTGGATTTGGAAGGAGAAAACCGCATCCTAGAAATGCTTGCATTGTTAATTAAGATGGTCAGAAGACTACTTTGTCAGCGTCTTCACCGAACAGAACTATAAAATCCTCGTATTCCAAGTTAACAAGTACATGTGGTAGCAAAGCAATATTAGAAAGCTAGATGGCAGGAATGTTATTTCTAAAAGAATGTGTATACCAAAGTTAAGTAAAATTGGGAAAGCGGATAACCCTGACGAACATTACTAAAAGAAACCAGTACTGATGATTCGTCATAAGCTTTGACTCGACCGGTTGTGTTCGAGTAGAGGGTCTACGAGGTTAGTTTATTTCTTTGACACGCCTTTCAGCGATACACGGCCACAGAACCACACCATCATCAGAGTTGACTGCTTCTTTAAGGTCAAGGAATGCAACCATAGTTGGGCAGTGAGAAGTATGCTTATTTTTCAGAACTTGTCGAAGGGTGAATATTTGGTCTATACATTCACACACAGACCTGGAAACAGCCTGGTTCTCTCCGACTTGTAATTAACGAGCTCTAGTTGGACGTCGAAGCATTATTCAAGGTAATATTTTAGACACTATATTAGTCAAATTGATTCCTCTATAAATATCTCAATAGTATTTTTATCCCTTCTGATAAACGAACAGTCATCTACCGAAACCAGTCTGATGGGATTACTAACAGTTCCCAGATTCTAGTTATGATCTCAGTCAATCAAGCTTCTAAAATTGGGATACCATCTATGAAAATCTCAGAAGTCACTATGCCGTGCTGCTGTCCGTCGTTTTAGATTGTCTATAGCTTTTACAACCTCATTAAGAGTTGGTAGACTTACATCATTTCGCTACTCATATTACTTGGAGATAATAGTTAACAGAGGTGTGACTGGAGGTCATTTGAACTGTTATCTAAAGTGATCTGCTAATCGGTTCAATCTCATGAATTAAAAGTGAATAACAATCTCATCATTTTGGAGATACTTCCACTAACAACCGGATTTTTAATGTCTGTTTACTTGATCGTTCTGAATAATTGTCTGCTATTATATATCCTCGCTTCCTTTTCCATCCCTTTCGCTCTCGCTGTCCACTTTCCTCACCAAATGTGACTTGGTGGTTTACACGTCAGCTGTCTGGTATTTCAGTGAATAGTTCAAATGGGTATAATGATATGAATAAGCACTACCTGCAGTGAAAGTACCTCTTTAGTTTTCACTAAGAGCTTCAAATTTTCATTGAATTTTTTTGGAAATTAATGTAAATGTGCAACTTAGGCAAGGTATAAAACTTCATACTCTAACTCCATGTAATGATTTTCATGTCCCTACTTTTTAATGGAGCTCAGTAACTATGTAAAGCTTAATGTACTGGGTTTTTAGCTACACTTTTTATATTGGATATAGTGATAATAAGTGATTGCCAAAATAATTAGAGGAGTTCAATCGCCAATCTCAGTGGCCGGTGTTTAATGTCTTATCTACCACTTATTCAATACTCAGCATACCATGTCTAAGTAAGCGGTGCTTGTATACGTCCAATATGCCTCGATTAATGAACATGTTAAAAATACCTGTATGACTATTCAGTGTAGTTTGCTTACTCTTCGTTAATTCTTTCTCAATTTAATGTTGATTAGTGTGGCAATGTGAACTATAAGGGTGAAGGCTTTTCCTGTGTACGACTATTTATTATCTTATTTTTGTCGACAATATGTAACGATATAATTAAAGCAAATAATCAGGGACAATAAATATCTTCAGTACTACTCCTGGTGTTAAAAGCATCAATTTCATGAACACTTCGCCTGATTCCCTTTCTGGTTGGTTATCATACTTTGCATCTAGTCATACTTGCTGTTTGAATTGTGTCACTGTGATATTCGATATTTGAGAATTCTTGTTGTAATCGTGACAAGACATAATATGGAGTATTCAGTACCATCCTCTTTATTATGTGAGCTTAGGGTCTCAATTTCGTATCCACCATCGTACCGTGCAACTTAGCTAGTGTGCTATCGAATTGATTATCCAGCAACTTTTATTTTAAGAGGACTTTTAATTCCAAAATATACGTTAAATGTTTGATCAGTCAATGAAATTGCGTTACTTAGTGTTGTCATTTTAGGTTACGCAGAAAGTGGATGATTGAGGTATCACTTACCTTTTCAGTCTTACTTATGGATCAAAAGAGGTTATTAACACTATTATCATTATGCAGTCAAAATAAAGATAGCGCACTTATTACAGTTGGCTATTTAGGTAAAAATGCTTAAATCCATGTTATTTTATACGAAAAATTCCAAAATTGCATGAGGTAATTGCTTGATACTGAATATAGCCTTTTATAGAAATCGACCAAATTGTAATGAGGTCCACACACTTAGTTACCCCTCGACGAGGATCATAGGCCGCCCACTAAGTATCCCCATCAAACTCTGTCTTGGGAAATCTTTTTCGGCTGTCCCCGGTTGCTGTTGTTTCGTAGGGTCAGACTGTCATTAATAGTCGTAAAGTAAACAGGTTGTAACTGACTGACCGAAACAAATTTACGGAAAACTGTAATACTTCAGTCCAGACGTTTAGAACAATGGGCGGAACATTTTAGGGGACAGTTCAGCTGGCCTTCAGCGACTGTACAACTACCCTCCATTCCTAGACAGTGTGAATGGAACATTTAAGTAGGTCCCCCAACTCTAGCAGAAGTTCAAAAGGCTATAGTTAATCTGAAACGAGGAAGGGCAGCTGGTCCAGATGGATTGGCTCCAGATGTCTTTAAGGATGGTGGTCCAATTTTAGCGACTAGGTTGACTAATATTTTAGCTAAGATCTGGGAGTTAGACGTTATCTCATCTAACTGGTCGCAATCGCTTATCGTCCAAATATATAAGAAAGGGTCAAAATCATCCTGTGACAACCATAGATGGATTAGTTTAACTAATATAGTATCTAAAATACTAGCCTCGATAATTACCAGACGCCTAACTAAGACTCATGAACTGCAAACACGAGAGAACCAAGCTGGCTTCAGACCTGGTCGTGGCTGCATCAACTACATATTCACCATTCGTCAGGTTCTAGAACATAGGCATACTTACCGGCGTCCGACAATGGTGGTCTTTCTAGACTTAGAAGCAGCATTTGACTCCGTAGACCACGAGATTCTGTGGCAGTGTCTGTCATTGAAAGGCGTACCTCAGAAGTACATAAACCTTGTGAAGGCTCTTTACTCGAACACTACTAGTCGAGTCAGAGCTTATGGCGAACTGTCATCAACTTTTGCAACCTCAAGTGGTATCCGTCAAGGCTGTCCACTTTCCCCATTTTTGTTGAACTTCATCATAGACCTATTGATGGAAATAACTTTCTCGTCGACTGAGTTCTCGGGTATTGATCTCCTTCCAGCGGGTGCACTTATCGACTTAGAATAAGCAGATGACATAGTCCTGTTTGGTGAAGACGCTGACAAAATGCAGAGTCTTTTGGTAGCACTGAGCAACAATGCCAGAATGTTTGGGATGCGCTTCTCTCCCTCTAGATGCAAGTTGTTGCTTCAGGACTGGTCTGCGTTAACACCTGAACTAAGGATAGGGAGTGAAGTAGTCGAACGCGTTGACAACTTCACTTATCTTGGGAGTCTGATCAGCCCTAATGGGTTGGTGTCTGACAAAATCTCAGTACGGATTCGAAAAGCTCGCTTGGCTTTTGCCAACTTACGTCACCTATGGCGAAGGCGAGATATCCGTCTATCAATAAAAGGACGAGTATACTGCGCGGCAGTCCGTTCTGTTTTAATGTACGGCAGCGAAACATGGCCATTAAGAGTAGAAGATATTCGTAAGTTACTAGTACTTGGTCACAGATGCCTTGGAAATATTGCTCGCATCTGCTGGGATCACCGGGTAAGTAATAGTGAGGTTAGACGCAGGGTATTAGAAAAGGATGGTAAATCAGTCGATAAGGTTGTGAATCTTCATCGACTGAGATGGTTGGGTCACGTGTTACGTATGCCTGAACACCGATTACCACGACGTGCAATGCTAACCGGCGTTCGGGATGGTTGGAAGAAAATTAAGGGCGGCCAAACCAAAACGTGGCATCAGTGTTTGAAGTCACTAACTTGTAATCTGAGCCATGTTGGTAGATGCAGACTACTTGGTTGGGTCTGCGTGACTCGTAACCAATGGTTGGAGACCCTGGGTGACATCGCTCAGAATCGATCACAATGGCGTATGTGTATACACTCTCTGTCTTCCCTTAAACTAAGAGATTAAAGTCGCTTCATATCTTTCTTTCTACGAACTAATTCTTTCTTCCTGTACTATATCCTTATTGCAATCTTTCTTTTATATATTACTACCGTTAAAGTAACTACTTCTATGAATTTCGTGTTCATCTTGTTGTGTTAATGAGGTATGGCAACTTGGACCGATGCATATATGTGCCTGGTCCTACGTTGTAGCTGACTGACCCTGATCGACCTCGAGCTACTCATGTTACAAAATATTGTTTGTTATCACCACAACTGTGGAATGGACAAAATATAATGAAGATCGCCTATTGCTTAAAAATGCTCTAAAATCATTTATTTGATTGTTTTTGATAGATACTCGGTGCGTATTATGATCAAGTATGGTTCAGGCTGCATAAAAGAGACTCCAACAATTTCCAAATTTACACTTAGTGGATTGTCTGGTTTTCGCATAGGATGGCTTCTCATGATTTTTCTGTCTTCAAATTATTGTCCTGAAAATTCATTTTCATGTTCTTTGAATTGGACACAAATTGACAATCATTTAGGATGAATCCCATATAATTTTAACGTGTCAGTACTTCCCATGCTTGCTTAGTGTTGTATTACTTAATTGACTAAACATAATTTTTGGCTACACTTGTTTTACTAATTCCTTGTTTGTTAAGGGTGAAATCAAAGAACGATTCAGAACATACTGGTATCAATAAACGGCCAATTAAGCTTTCAGTGGGATTGTTTGTTTTCCGAAAGTCAAAATGTTGTTGTAAAAACTTTCAGTTCTTTCTTTGGTAAATTATTATTAACTTAAACTTTTGTTTATGTGTCTTAGACCCTACAATTAATTTATTAGGCATGCTTTATCCTAACGTTTGTTTGTCTTTCAGATTGTTAAACAAACGTTCAACTTACAGTCATTTAGAAGCTGTTAAGATTTCAAATCACCGTGCAGAAAGCATACGCAGTCATGTTCGACACGTTTTGCTTCCTATGCTTAAAAATCTTCCGGTTCAGGCAAATAAAAACATTGATAGTAAAGTTACCACCAAAAATGATGAGTGTAAAAATCTTGACAACAATAATCAAACTTTGAGAAGTGGTTTTTATCGTATCGGACGACAGCGATATACTTTGATGGAGGATGAAGCGATAATGAAGTATTTGTTGGAGAATAACCTATGGAGGTATGGGACATATATTGCTTGCCTTCTATTGTTTTGTACAACCGTGAACTGTGAATTCAACCTTTTGGAGTTCGTTTATTTTCTTGGTTAAAATCTTAATTTCTGTTAATTCGCTTAGTTTCGTTTGGTGATATAAGGTAAATTATGATTGAGGACTGAATAACTAAATATTCATTCTGAGATCCAACTGTTTTTGAATGTATCGAAAGTCGCCACGATTTGCTTGAGGCAGGAATAAGTTTTCAGTTTATATAGCTCGATGGTGTCGTCTCTACAGGAAGGTCTGACCACTGTGTCAAGGTGGTAGCTGCTGTCAGATATTCCTTGTTACTAATATTCTGTCCAGTGATTCCTAGTTTTAATCGTTGTCTAAGGTAATTACGTGATGTAAAGTAAAAAAAGTTAGAAGACGAAGATTATCATTATCGAAATTTATCAAAGGGACTAATTGTTTTAAAAAAAATTATAGACTCCTAACCATTGGTTCGCTCAAAATGTAGTCATTGTTATATATATGATAAATACTAATTACTTTTACGTGTAAATTAATCGTGCATTATTCTTTATGAACATATGTGTAATTGTCCAGGAGTTCCTTATAAGTTAAATGTGTTTTCTGTTTAAGGAGCCTAAAAACGCGTACAGTAGGGCATTGAAAAATGCGTCACGCAAATGAGTCGATTATATTTTGAAGAAATAAAAGAGGAAGGATGGGACAGTTGATAGGTAATGGCGCAAACATAGTATTTCATAAAAGATAGGGTTCAGTTAAAAGAATACGATCAAGAAAGACTTCGTTCTCCTAAGCGAGTTATGCTAACTTCTCTTAGCCATGTATGTGAACGTCTAGAGCATCACAACCGAATTCGGTAATATTGAGAGTTCCAGCCTATTCCAAGTGGGGTACCATGGAAGAATCTGCTGGAAGTAAAGGGAATCCCTAAACGTCATAGAAAGATTTCTTGCTGACGCTTAGTACTTCAAAAGTGAACTACTTTCACGCGATATTAATGAGCGTCTTCGTTGAAAAATTTCGTCAAATATATGTTATGTTTTATCTCATAGTTGTTATTTCCACACAATATTTCAATCTAGGCGGGTAAGAAGTCGCGCTTTATGGAAAGAGATGGCAAAGGAAGGTGTAACTAGCCATTCATCAGAATCAATGCGGGCGCGCTTCCGTCACCATTTAGTGAATTCAGTGTATGCCCGTTTACTGAAATCACTCACAAAAAACGAGCAGGTCGAACTTCATAATATCTTCTTTGGAGGATCAAAGAGATATACCAATCCAATGGAGGAAAATAAATATAATGATGCACTCAGTGATGATGGTGCTTGTCACTCATCTTATTCGATTGATGAATGTAGTCTGGACTTGAATAAGTCTAACACAATTACGACATATGTGCTTTTCAGTCAGTCACAAAAGAATCACTTAGACAAATCAACTAATAAAGAGACGTCCCCGACAACTGTTCAACGTGATAAATTCGGGGATGTATTACCAGATCCTACGAAAAGTAAGAACTTTTTTACAGCACTCAATATCTTCAATAACAGTTATGATCTGTTTCTAAAACGTAAATAAACACAATTCGTACACAAATGCATCGTACAGTCGATTGCAAAGGGAGTAATAAACACGCCTATCGAATATTAATAGGGACACGAAATGAATCAATGAAAGTGCTAGTTATGTGTATATAAAGGGCTGATGCAATTTCATGATCGGTGGTTAAATAAAATGGATAATATTAATAATCACTCTGAGATTAAATGAGTCGTAAGTTGCAGGGATTCAACCCAAATATTATTGGTTGATTCATACTTATCGATCATGATTAACAGCCTTTGGTTTGTAGCTTGTGAACATCATGGCTTATTTACTCAGCGAATAATATATTGTTCAGTAGATATTCTAATGAAGTTTTTGTCTCGCTGTTGAGGCTTGGAATGTTCACACAAAGTACTGTCATTCTTTTTTACACCTGTAATGAATAAATACACAAATACATTTCTTATAAGTAATAGTAGAAACTGATATAAAAAAGTGTTTCATTCTAGGGTCGCCTAGTTTTCACCCAATGTTTCTACTCAGAAAGACGTATCATGAAATCAAGCGAATTCGTGCGTATTTTTTGTTCTTGTTTGATTTCTCACAGGTTTTAGTCCTTTTCTTCGCGATCAAATATCTGTTTGTTCGTATGAAAGTCCTACAAGATTTTGTAATAACTACCCTCGACCACCAACAGTCATAGCAACAAATACGAAGAAAGCATCGGAATCAAATGACTTACCAAATGCTTCAACCAGTCTATCGTCACTTAACGAGTCTCTGTTAGAGCTGATACAAGGTACTCCATCCCAAGATTCCAGTTCACCGTCGGTAAGTCTTAGTCTATGTTGAATTACTCTATGTGAACAGTTCCCTTTGAGATATTGTTTACAAAGATTGAATAGTTATCTCTATTTTCTGCAAAAGTTGATTTGTCACTTACTGCAAAAATCCAAATGTACGTTTTTGGTATCTGTTGCATGATTCCATAATGATAATGCTGTTAATGTGATGTATAGCATATTTAATCATATATATTCTGTCGACTTAACACCTTTAGAACAAAGGTATATCAAAAGTTGTATGTTGGATGCGCATATTGTATATACTAATCTTGAAAGACAGAGAGGCAAATAAAAGATCCAGCTATTGTATGAAGCTTTGGGATTCAGCAATACACGCTTTCGTAGCCCAGTATCTTACTCCGATTTGATCGTGCAAAGATGCTGGGCTACAAAGGTGGTGAACCCGACTTGATAGCTATATATCCACAAAAATGAACGATAATGATTAGGTTATTGGTGTGATAAATAATTCAGAACATGACAAAGATGGTCGGTCTTAGCAAGAGGTTTATTAGAATTAAAGGCATCCACATACATGGTAAGAGATGATATCGAATTGGAAGATGTGTGTGGTATGTTAAAATAAAAATAACAGCTACGTAAATGAGTGTAATAATGAGGCAAAAATGACACGAAAAAAGGAACGGACTCACTTAAAGCAGAAAAATTTTATGCATGTATATAGTAAAAAATATTCTGGTGAGTCTCAAATGTCATAATATGAATTGTATGTCTACAAAATTCTAACTTGCTGGGTGAGTGATATAGCTGTGTAAATGTCATGATTTAATGTCAATACGAACAGCAATAATAATTCCATGTAAGTGATAATGACACTAATGTGATAATGAGAATACGAGAATTCTATATTGTACCAAAATATAATATTGAATAAAGCCATCAGTAATAATAATAATAATAATAATAATAATAATAATAATAATAATAATAATAATAATAATAATAGTAGTAGTAGTAGTAGTAGTAATAGTAATAGTAATAATAGTAGTAATAGTAGTAATAATAGTAATAATAATAATAAATAATAAATAATATGATCATAATAGAATGATCCGCCAAATAGATCAATGAGAAGCGTTGATACGAGGACAAAGTACCGATAAGATAATGCAGTTTAAGCTAGCTTCACCGAATGCTATGGATTAGAGATTGAATCTTTTGAGTTGCTTGTCAATTAAGTTAACTACTTAGTTCACCCATCGATGCGGTTATCATTTTACGGACTGATTATTCTTATCCTTCAAACAGAAACCCCATCCCACGTAAACGTAAATCCATCAATAATTTACCGACGCTATTTACTCGACTGCAGCTTATTAGAACATGTTAATATTTCGCTAGTATTTGTTCTTATACTCCATCGGCACCACAGATCAATATTCGTTACATTCTACATCACTTATTTCCAAGATTTGTTTTTCTGTTAAGCCCATAAACGATAAACGATTTACTATCTGTTTTTACGGTATTTTGAATCGCTTATATGATGGTGTTATTTTATCGTCCAGATAGTCACAACGTAAATGCTTGTTACTTTTGGTACGCTTACTAATTTACTCATAATCGCACACTAACACTTTAATTTCTTTCCGTGACTATATATGTTATTCATGTATTGCTTTTTATATAAGTATAACACTCGTATTTTACACTCACTCTTAACCTGACACTGTACTCTATCAGAAATATTACAAACTATCTTCGCTACATATCGTTAACGTTATCCACACACCTCAGTGTTGCTTTCGAAAACAGACATTTTTTCTCAAATTAATGTGCTATTGTCAACAGAGAGACTATGTAATGTCTGTACTACTATTCAGCGAATAATGTAACTCAGTTTTAAGAGTCAGCTAATAAATATAAGAAGTTGATGGATACATACATACTTGCATCAAATGTGACCCAAGTTACATCCGAGTAATTAATATAGTCAAACATGTGATGTGAAGACGAGGCTGACCCAGATGTTGCTTGGAAGGGCATACAATCAGCTGTGGAAACAGCAGTGACATCTATTAGTGACTTAAACCACAGAGTTGCAAGGAACCAGTGGATTTCTTCAAGGTCTGTCACACTGATGGATTCTCGCAAACTCATCCCATCAGGTTCTGAACATGATGAAGAGCGAAAACAAATCAGATCTAGGTTAAGAAAAAGTCTAAGGAACGACCGTGAGCAGTGGTGGGTAACGAAAGCAAAAGAGATGGAAAAGGCGGCGACTATAGGGAACACAAGACAGCTTTACAGACTAATAAAAGAAACTGGAATTAATAAGTCAAGTGTAAGTGAGATTATTTCGGAAAAAGATGATACTCTCATCTGCTCCCAGTCCAGACGTTTAGAACGATGGGCGGAACATTTTAGAGAACAGTTCAGCTGGCCTTCAGCTACTCTACAACTACCCTCCATTCCCAGACAATGTGAATGGAACATTGAAGTAGGTCCCCCAACTCTTGCTGAAGTTCAAAAGGCTATAGTTAATCTGAAACGAGGAAGGGCAGCTGGTCCAGATGGATTGGCTCCAGAGGTCTTTAAGGATGGTGGTCCAATTTTAGCGATTAGGTTGACTAACATTTTAGCTAAGATCTGGGAATTAGACTTTATCCCATCTGACTGGTCGCAATCACTTATCGTCCCAATATATAAGAAAGGGTCAAAATCATCCTGTGACAACCACAGAGGGATAAGTTTAACAAACATAGTATCTAAAATACTAGCCTCGATAATTATCAGACGCCTAACTAAGACTCGTGAACTACAAACTCGAGAGAACCAAGCTGGCTTCAGACCTGGTCGTGGCTGCATCGACCACATATTCACCATTCGTCAGGTTCTAGAACACAGGCATACCTATCGGCGTCCGACGATGGTGGTCTTTCTTGACTTAAAAGCAGCGTTTGACTCTGTAGACCGCGAGACTCTGTGGCAGTGTCTGTCATTGAAAGGCGTACCTCAGAAGTACATAAACCTTGTGAAGGCTCTTTACTCGAACACTACTAGTCGAGTCAGAGCTTATGGCGAACTGTCATCTACTTTTGCAACTTCAAGTGGTATCCGTCAAGGCTGTCCACTTTCTCCATTTTTGTTTAACTTCATCATAGACCTATTGATGGAAATAACACTCTCGTCGACTGAATTCTCGGGTATTGATCTCCTTCCAGGAGGTCCACTTATCGACTTAGAATACGCAGATGATATAGTCCTGTTTGGTGAAGAGGCTGACAAAATGCAGAGTCTTCTGGCAGCACTGAGCAACAATGCCAGAATGTTTGGGATGCGCTTCTCTCCCTCTAAATGCAAGTTGTTGCTTCAGGACTGGTGTGCGTCAACACCTGAACTAAGGATAGGGAGTGAAGTAGTCGAACGCGTTGACAACTTCACTTATCTTGGAAGTCTGATCAGCCCTAATGGGTTGGTGTCTGACGAAATCTCAGCACGGATTCGAAAAGCTCGTTTGGCTTTTGCCAACTTACGTCACCTATGGCGAAGGCGAGATATCCGTCTATCAATAAAAGGACGAGTATACTGCGCGGCAGTCCGTTCTGTCTTACTTTACGGCAGCGAAACATGGCCTTTAAGAGTAGAAGACACCCGTAAGCTACAAGTATTTGACCACAGATGCCTTAGAAATATTGCTGGCATCTGCTGGGATCACCGGGTAAGTAATAGTGAGGTTAGACGCAGGGTATTAGGGAATGATGGTAAATCAGTTGATGAGGTTATGAATCTTCATCGACTGAGATGGTTGGGCCACGTATTACGTATGCCTGAACACCGATTACCACGACGTGCAATGCTAACCGGTGTAGGGGATGGTTGGAAGAAAGTTAGGGGCGGCCAAACCAAAACGTGGCATCAGTGCTTGAAGTCACTAACTTGTAATCTGAGCCATGTTGGTAGATGCAGACTACTTGGTTGGGGTCCGCGTGACTATCGTAACCAATGGTTGGAGACTCTTGGTGACATGGCTCAGAATCGATCACAATGGCGTCGGTGTATACACTCTTTGTCTTCCCTTAAACTAAGAGATTAAAATCACTTCATACGAACTAATTCTTCCTTCCTATACTATATCCTTATTGCAACCTTTGACCTAACCACTCCTATGAATCCGGTGTTCATCTTGTTGTGCTAATGAGGTATGGCAACCTGGACCGATGCACATATGTGCCTGGTCCTACGTTGTAGCTGACTGACTGACTGACTGATTGACAGAATAAATGGACAGATTAGAATAATTCATCTATTGATATGTTTGAATAAATCACCTAGGTGTGTAACAATATTAATTGCTGCACATTTACATTGATCAGTTTGCCACGCCATTTCCCAGACATCAGTAAGACAGCAATTTAAAGTAATGGCGTTGGAACGTAAGTCAATCGCATAAAATGTGCTTTTCAGGAGTGTTATACATTTCAATTTCCAGTTGTTTAAACGATAATTAGATTACTTTACGTCATAAATACAATAAAACGCTAAGTTATTGTATTTATCAGTGGTTATATTGTACATTTGAATGTCTTTGTTCTCAACGAATAACTGTAATTCATTTTTGCTTTTAGTATTTATCATTGATGACATCGGATTCATCACCTTCATTTGACCCAATGAAATATCCTGTATGGGTGTCAAAGTTGATAAACTGCACTAGTTATATAACAACGCCTTTACAGGCTATATTGCTTGTCTATATGACAAATGGTTCCGTTGCAGAAGCGTACAACTTTTTGACTACCGGAAAACGTCGTCCATCATCAATAACAAATTTTAGTCCGCCTCTTTGGTCACCTGATGATGATGAATGTTTAGGTTCAACTGATCAAAACAAGCTTGATGAACTTGTCAGTCGTTTCGGTTGGATAGAAATAGTTAAACGTGTTGGCTTTTTACAAAATAAAAACAATATTGATACTTCTGATATCATTAAAAAATAGTATTTCAAAAATTTCCTACATACTTGACGTCTCCTCCATTTCATAAAGCATTGTTGTTAGTATTTTATAATACTGTTCAATCTATATTACCACTTGTTTAAACAAATTTTTTTCTGTTTATTTTTTGTATACATATTATCTAAGAATTTTGATTGTTGACTTTGTTTCAACTTGTTCAGTTTATTTATCATTGGTTAAAATCTTTGTAAAAAAATATCTTTTCATTTATATGTATGGTTGTGTTTGTTTACTATCAAGAAGTGTATTTTATCCAGTTGAGCAATCTTCAAACGAGTAATTCAGTGGAATGTTAATTATGACTTATAAATCACTTCATTTCTGGTGTCATTTAGTTGACTCAATGATCTGGACATTCACGTCTTTAACCATTTGGTGGAATTTTTAAATCCTATCTTATCTATAATCGGTTTGAGGAATCTGGTTATTATCTTTAGATCTTTTTAATAGATGTAACATATTAGAAGATTATATATTTCACCACTGAATCGCACGAAATTTCCACTGACAATGATTAGGTTTAGTTATTATCCAATAAATTGATTTTTATCAAGGTTACCGTTTGTGTAATTTTACGTCTTCAAGTGATAAATGGATGGGTGTAGTTAGAGGATTATGGCTTCATCTGAGGATAGCAATCAAACCATATGTAGTATTCATTCGGTTCAATCATATAAACATGCCATGTTGATGTTGTGCCCTTGTTGCATAGTAAGCACGAGTTATGTTCCTATAACTGAAGCATCAAACAGTGCAGATGCATTGGATCACTGTAATACATGTACTACCTAAACTATTACTGAAATAGTATACTTAGAACTACCTTCTATCACATGTTTGTTCTCTACATCTAATATTACTATTTATATCAAATTGATCATGCCTGTAAACTGGTGTGAATTCTGTAATTATTATTTTCGGTATATATATTATTATTAGAACTTTACTTCATCATAGTATCGTTAGATGATAGGACTCCTTTGGAGGATTAACTACTGGAAGGTCAGCTTATCACATTGTAAAGCAAACAGTCTAATCGCACACTACTTACAAGTGATTTATCGTATAGTGGAATCTCATGAAAATGTGATGCCTTATTAACATCTAAGGAACGAACAGGTTACTAAGGTATATCTCAATGTTTCATATTTAAGTATTATTGCATCCTTTTTAAGCCCGACTTTGTTATGGATTACGAACAATGAATTCACCATAACTTGGTTCATTGCCATGGTGTATATTGAGGAAGCAAATAATTTTACAAACAGGAATTACAGTTGGTTTTGTAAGAAACTACTAGTCTCAATATGATTCGTCCCAGTAACTTATGACTTTCACGTCAGATACTGCATTTATTGGACTAGTTCTATCTCTTAGTCTGAACTCTTGATAATCACAGTGATAATTTTCTTTCCGACAAAATCATTTACTTAAGCTGTACATTCTTATTGATAGTTGTAATTATGTCTACAGAAAGACGAAAAATTGCATCATACATTGGTTCGAGACTAAACATTGGATGAAGTTTCGTAATAATCAGACGGTTAGAGAATAATAGAAGGATGAAGGAGGGATGCAAAAGTTACTATTTCGATACAGGAGGACTTGATCATCTCTGGGCAAATCACTCCAGAGAAGTCTTCAGAGTAATCGATACAATCAAAGGAACTTGATCGAGGCGAGGCTCAATCAAAAACTTGTACATTGGTGAGGCGTTGGCAATCCATGAGTTCAAGCCCTAACTCTGCCTACAAAAACGATACGTCCAACCTCTCGTCCTTCCTTGTACATAGTTTTCTTCTGTAGTGTGTTTCGGTCTTGCTTTTTTTTGAAAAAGTAATTGTTTTATAATTTTAGACCTCAATCAGTTATTATTACCCTCTAGCAATTTTCCGTGATTACTACTCAGTTATTTTGATTGAGATCATGAATTGATCGATGTTAAGCCACCATTGAAAACCTGAAACCAATTTTTGATGCGATCTTTTCTATCTTTCTGTAGACCTATTTGCCATACAACTATAAATACGAATGTACAGCTTAAATAATTTATTTCGTTGAAAAGAAATTTTTTCCTCTGAATTCTTATTTTTATACAACGACACAATGGATTATTTTAATCATGTTGATTTTAAGTGGCTTACTGAGGATTTTTCTTCAGCTCGAGTTGTAAAGAACTATGGTCGGATTATGTGATTTTAAGAAAATTGTTAGTCATTTAAAGATCCCCATCATATTGTTAGTTTTCTTACTTATTCTGGACATTAAAACTCTTCTACCGTTTTGTTGCATCAATTTGATATAGTTGTCGAAAACTATAATTACGGTTTAGTAAACCCCTTTTATCTTCTATAATAGAAAATGTTTCAGATAAATTAATTTTTGTTACGAGGTTCATCGGTAACTTTTGATGGTGTTTTCGAACTCATTCTATTCACGTTTTTTTCATCAAATCTCCTTGAGTACTTTGTTTATTCTTTTAATTAATTCTACAGATATTTCATGCATAACGATCCACTGTCTCCTGTCCCTTCAGAACGACTTCTTGGACCTGGGTACGGACAAGGTGTATGGCCTTTACGTGAACGTTTGGCACTTGCTACTGCTCTTTTAGATGTAGATAACCAGCAAGGAAGTTGGGCTGCCACTAGTCGTCGTATGATGTGTTTTTCTAGGCCAGGTCGACCATCTACATGGTGTTCATCTAAAGCTTGTGCCAAACAGTATGCTCTGCTTCTGGATTCCATTGAGTTAGTTAAACGCCAAAAAATGCCTGGAAGTGATTCACAATCAAGCCAGTTGAGTCTAGCTGAACGCGTTGTGAAGCGTTTGAGTGCTGAACGTGCAGAAGAGTTGAGATCGCGAATACGATGTGGTCAGCATTACTACAGGTGGGCTATGTTCTACTCATACATTTCAAATTAATGTTTTGTGTGTAACAGTCTTATCTCCTTTCAGTTCTTACCCAGTAAAATTTTATTACATATTCAAATTTTTCTTCGAAATAGTTACCATGTTAGCTATGCTACACGTACATTTTAAGTGGATCAGTTTAGTCGAGAGACATCAGTATATAGATTTAATTAGGAATCCCTCTTTTCTTATTCCAATTATTCCAGCTTGAGTATATGAGCTACACCATTAAGTCCTCTTGTGACAATCACAGAGAAATCAGTTTGACAAATATAGTGTCTAAAATATCAGCTTCAATAATACTTCGACGCCTAACCAAAGCTCGTGAAGAACAGATTAGAGAAAATCAGTCTGTTTTTCGACTTGGACGTGGTTGTATAGATCAGATATTCACACCACGTCAGGTTATAGAACACAGACACACATTCAGACACCCCACAGTCGTAGTATTTCTCGACCTTAAGGCGGCATTCGACTCTGTTGATCATGAGGTTCTATGGCAGTGTTTGTCACTGAAAGGAGTACATTAACCTTATAAAAGCTCTCTCTACTCGAACACAACTGGTAGAGTTAGAGCTTATGGCGAACTGCCATCAGAATTGATTACCTTAAGTGGTGTTCGTCAGTGTTGTCCACTCTCTCCATTCTTGTTCAACTTCGCCATCGACATGCTTTTAGAGATGAAACTTTCCTCATCTAGACTTCCAGGGGTTGAACTTTTACCGAGAGGTTCACTTGTTGACTTAGAATATGCCGATGACATAGTTCTATTTGGTGAAGATGCTGACAAAATACAGAGTCTTCTGACCACTATAAGCAACAATACAAGCATGTTCGGGATGTGATTCTCCCTCTCGAAATGCAAAATGTTGCTTCAGGATTGGGTTGCATTGACACCCGAACTAATGATAGGGAGTGAAGTAATTGAGCGTGTCGATCGCTTCGCTTATATTGGAAGTCTCATCAGCCCTTATAGTCTGGTGTGTGACGAAATCTCAGCACGGATACAGAAGGCTCGATTAGCTTTTACCAACTTGCGTCATTTATGGCGTAGGCGAGATATCCGTCTATCAACCAAAGGACGTGTTTACTGCGCAGCAGTTCGTTCCTTCCTACTTCATGGCAGTGAAACATGGCCGGTAAGAGTAGAGGATATTCGTAGGTCACTAGTATTTGATCATAGGTGTCTTCGAAATATTGCTCGTATATCCTGGGACCATCGAGTAAGTAATGCAGTTGTTAGGAAACGGGTACTAGGTAAGGATGGCAAATCAATTGATGAATTAGTGAAACTTCATCAGTTGAGATGGCTGGGACATGTGTTAAGCATGCCCAACCACCGACTGCCTCGATGTGCGATGTTTTGTTGTATAGGAGTAGATTGGAAGAAAGCTAGGGGCGGCCAGACCAAAACATGGCACAAGTCCATGAAGTCATTGACAAGTGGACTGAGTCATGTTGATAGGTGTAGACTACCTAGTTGGGGACCGCGAGATGATAGCAACCGATGGTTAGAGACCCTGAGTGACATGGCTCAAAATCGTTTGCAGTGGTGAGTGCAGGTGCATTCGCTCTTTGTGTTCTCCCAAATTCTAATCTTCTGAATTCTTCATGTCCCTTTCTTTTTTCTCTTTTCAAATTTATTTCACTGGATTATACTCCTTGAATAACATCTTGAAACCCTAATTTTTCTGATTACAGTTTATAATTTTACTACATCTAGCACTTCGGGATTTGAATCAACCACTGCATCTCTGTGCTAATGTGGTATGGCAACTCGAACTGATGTACGTACGTAGTAAGTTCTATGTTGTTACTGACTGACTGATTAAGTCTTAAGCGTTTGTCAGTTTTATATAGAAAATTGATTGGACTTAGATGACACTTCATTTTCGTTGTTGTATCGGTTTATGCGATTTGTAAGATTCCATTTTATGGTTATCATATGAAACTGATAAAAATTTCATTCTATTGAGTAGAATTTTCATAAATTTTCTATCCATTAACTTTTATCTCGTGCACTTCTTTTTGAAGTTCGTTAAAAGGCATCATATCCGATGTGGAATCTGGAATGTATGATAGTCAGTTGACGAACTTATTAAATGTAATGAATCCGATCTCAGATTTTAAAATGCAATCAGGAATTATTGACGGT